TATATATATATTATTTTAATTAATGGTCGCAATTTTTGCATTGCCGCGTGGCTGGGCGCGACGCAGTAGTGGGCTTTTTCAGAGAGCTATTTTCTGTCAGAAACAACATGTTGGCCTAGCGTGGCGCGCTAGGCCGTTTTCTCAGAGTTCCTATTTTTTTACTTTTTAACCCACGGTGTACACCTGACTCTATTATGTACTTATTTTGTGTCCAATTCATGTTTATACCTATCTAATCAAGTACCAAAACACCTAAACTCTAATAATCTTAATCTATAATTATCTAAACTATTCTATAAAAGCAAGGAAAAGGGTTAGAAGTAGTTCTGAGTTATAGTCGTCAGCTTGACTCCATCACTTAGGCTCATTTGATCACGATGCTAGAAGATTACTTGTCAAATCCTCCAACAAGTTATGGTTTCAACCTGTGCCCATTCACCTTAAAGCTTTCATTCCCTTCCTTATCTTGTATTTCAATGGCGCCATACGGTGAGACGTGTTTCACCACATATGGACCTGTCCATCTTGACTTGAATTTTCCAGAGAACAACCTAAGTCTACTATTGTATGGCAGAATTTTGTCCTCTTCATGAAACTCCTTTGGCTTAATCAGACAATCATGCCACCTCATTGTCTTTTCCTTAAAAATTCGCGCATTTTCATACGCATCCAGTCTAAATTCCGCCAATTCGTTCATCTGCGCCAACCTGTGTTCACATGCAAGATTAAGATCAAGATTAAGCATCTTAATTACCCAATAAGCTTTATGTTCTATCCCAACAGGTAGATCACACGATTTTTCATACACTAATTTGAACGGTGAAGTCCCTATGGTTGTTTTGAAAGCAGTTCTGTACGCCCATAAAGCTTCATCCAACTTTATAGACCAATCCTAACGAGAAGCACTAAACGTCTTTTCAAGAATTCGTTTAAGTTCACGGTTAGCCTGGGCATGGTACGAGGTTCCTGTTTTGTGTGTGACCCCATACTTAGACAACAATGCAGTGAACTGCTTGTTCACAAAGTGCGACCGATTGTCACTGATAATCACTCGAGGTGTCCCGAAGCGGGTAAAGATGTTCTTCCGTAAGAACTCATACACCAACCAAGCATCATTGGTCCTAGTAGGGATTGCTTCGACCCACTTAGAGACGTAGTCAACGGCTACTAGAATATACTCGTAAGAATGAGATGATGGGAACGGGCCATGAAGTCAATGCCAGCAGGTATTTTTAATCCGGCAGCAATGACAAACTTTTCTAGCACTGTTGCATTTCTGTTGGTGTATGTTATTTTTAATTGGTGGAAGAAATATTTATGTACTTGGACGGTTAAAGACTATAGGAAGGAACGATAGCAGTGGAACCTAGTGCCAGCAGGTATGCTTTGGGTATCACAAAAGGAAAGAAATAGCATGTGTTTTGAAAGAAAAGCAGAAGCCACTTTTGACTAAAAAATTAGCGTTTGAATTTAGTTGCTTTTTTGGTGTAAACTGAAAAGTTTATTGCTGTGATAGACTTTGCATTCAGGAGTAGCCTGAGTTGTGTATAGTTTTTGTACTCACCAGCATGGTCTTTGTGCTCGGCCAGTTAGAGTCATTTTCTGCATTTTACTGTGCACACAATTCATCTTTTCTATCACACAAGTTTGATTCTTTTGGTTGCAGATTTCTTGAAAGACTATTAATCCTTTATCCTGGTTCAAAAGGTTTGTTAATGCAACTTGTATGTTCTAGGAGAGTTGTTTATTGCTTATTATTAATCAAACTGCCAGTGCACACAAGTTCGCAGTTAGTAGTCCTATAACTTATGCATTTACTTTTGATGGTTCATTTGCAATAAGTAATGCATTTTCCCAACAGATATGGAACGTCTCCATTTACCCAAATTTTGTAAATACTCAAACCTAAAATCATGCCCAACAGAGCACGGAAGTTAAGCATGCTTGGATAAGAGTAGTACTGCGATGGTTGATAGAAATTAAATCACAAGACATACACAACAAGATTAATTAAAATCACAATCAGTGACAAAGCCATGAACTTAACATCTGTTACTTTATATTTGAAACTGGTTTGTAGCTTATATACAAGGTTAGGATTGACTTGTCAGTATCCAAAGGATTGTTTGTAGTTCTTTATTTCTTAGTAACAGGGTGTTTTCCTACGAAGGGGTGTGAGAGGTTGACATTGGAGGGCCTACGAAGAGGTAGAGGTAGGTCAAAAAAGAGGTGGAGAGAGGTGATTAGGCAAGACATGGCGCAGCTTAAGCTGACAGAGGACATGACCCTTGATAGGAAGGTATGAAGGTCGAATTAGGTTAGTAGAGTAGGTAGTCTAGAGTGTTCATAACAGAAGTATTGGCACGCAATCTCGCTTCCTGTTGGTAGTAAGTTTTATGACTAATCGTTGTTTTCTTTCATTGTTGAACACGTTAGTGTCTTGTTTTTATTCTGCTTTTATATGACTTTTTGGTACTGTCCCTTCTTGTCTCTATTTTCATTAATGCGGTGCTTATGCTTTCCTGAGCTAAGGGTCTATTGGAAACAAGCTATCTATCCTCACAAGGTAGGGATAAGGTCTGGATACACACTACCCTCTCCAGACCCCCACGGTGTGGGATAATACTGGGTATGTTGTTGTTGTAGTGTGTTTTACTGATCATCATTTAAAAATGATTGCTCTATATGTTTTGTGATTTCTATTCATGTTGCTTAATCCTGCTCATGTTTTTATAGTATGAACTATCAAAAGGAAATGCATAATTTGTAGGACTATTAACTGAACTTGTATGTTGTGTTATTAACAGGATGTAAGAACATGGAAAGAGCGAGTGTCTGCTGTATGATATCAGTTATGCAGGAAGGGACAATAGCAGATCTGTAGGAAGCTCCGTAAATCGGAGTATTCTTCCATCAATAATCAATTGCATCTCTCATGATGAAGAACTATTAAAAACTCCACTGACGAGTACAATCCTAAACTTGTCTATCACCTGCAGAGCAATTTGAAACATAAACTAACATTTGTCAAAGTATATTGCAATCAATACAAACCAGAAAAGACAAAAACTTATAGTTGAGAAAAGACAATTGAAGCGTGCTGAGAGGATCTTGGAAAGCTCAGGAACTCCTGTTCCATTTCAGCATTATCCTGAGACACATCACTCCCTACAAATCCGGCAGCAATGACAAACTTTTCTAGCACTGTTGCATTTTTGAGCAAATATTTTACTAATGGCAGTACAAATTTAATTTCACTTAATGGTCAAAGAAAGTTAATGAACTTGATGGTCTTCAGATGTGGCAATGAGCAATTAAAATTATGTGTATCAAACCTCCTGACCTGTTCATCCTCGTCAGTGTACCCTGACAGTAGGTCCTGTAGGAAAGACTCCACTATATTAACCAGTTATTCTCCTTAGATGGAAGTTGAAAGCCAAGGAGTTGATTGTGGATAAAATAAAAAGGTGATGCATTTTTAGATTCAAAGAGCATGTCAAGTGCTTAGCAAACGTTACAAAGTGGTACATGCAAACAACAAGAAAATGTTTCAGAGCTTCACTGAAGATGATCCTTATCTCTTTGTATAAAGGTGAGTACTATCCCTTGTTAAACATTTTTTTCTTACTACTACAAAAAAATTGACTGTAGAACTGGACGCATGAAAGAAGAATTTTGACAGTGACAACATGAAATTTCTATCAAAGCAACTCAAGTTGAACTATTTTCTTGAGGAAAATCAATTGAGAGAACCAAAAAGTTCCAACGCACGTCTTACACAAAAAAACAACAATAAGCACGCAGCTGCAGAGGATTTAACGGGACTAGAAAAGCAGAATTTGAACTATACATTACCTGGAGCAATTTCTATGAACATATAGAGAACTACTCACCTCGATGGACAAGCACTATAATAAAATGGTGCAAACTTGATCTAGGATTGGTAGAACTAAACACGGATGGCAGTTGCACACACGGACAATGTGGATCAGGTGGCATAATGAGTAACCCTTCTGGTAATATTATTTATGGCATATGCAGTCCCACTAGGCAATGGAACAAACAATACGCCAAGCATTTGCACCTCCCTATGAGTTTAAATGGTGTCTTGAACGTTGTATTAGAAATATTTGGGTGGACAATGACTCTTTACTTATTGTGAATGTGTCAAGGGAGTTGCAAAAATTTCTTGGCGTTATTAACCTATTGTTGAAGATACTAAAGAGTTGATTCAAGTGAGACACCTGTTGCAGAGAAGCCAATGGTGTGGCTGATTCTTTAGCTGGATACAGTCCACCTATTGGATGCAGAGAAGAAAATTTTCAGCTTTATGTCACTATAAAGAGAAGCTACAGGGCACTTAAGGGTTGACGACTGTCAGCTCCCTTCCTTCAGAATTTGACAGAAAGCGGAAGCTTACCTCCAATAATGCAACAAGATGAACTTCCTAGTTAGAACCTTTTGTGACCTCACTTTTTCGTTTTTAGGTTCTTATGGAAACAATGTACAGGGGAGCAAATCTCCAAAGGTTAGAAGCAATAGCCATTGGACCTTTTCAATCTTCTCTTTACTTGAGGATTGAACTGGTTGTATTTACCTTTCTTTGAAGAAGTAAGCCAGTCAAGTCTGCCTTTTTGTAAATTTTTATCATTATCTATGAAAAATGCCAAGTATGTGGTTTAAACTTAAAAAAGAGGACGTAAAAAAAGGTTTAAGAGTTTTTTCCTAAAGTACAAATATGTTGATATACATTGTCTTCTCTTTCCACTAATAGTTGTTTGACATTGATAACATGAAGTAACAAAAATAAAGGTCTAAAGGAAACTTACTCTTGGCCTGTCATCGTCCCAGTCAATGACTAATGTCTCAAGATCTGATGAATTCTGTAGAAAGCTGCAAATTCCAGGGAAGTCCAATGATTCCAAGTCTGTGTTAAGCTTTAAGAATTTCCGGCTTGATGGCGGAGACTGCCACCCTTTCAACTCCAATATGGAAAGGCACTTATAAACCAAATAGATAAACCACAATATGTCAAAATAAGGAAATGCGACATAGTTATCAAATGAAATGGAAATTGTTGAATAATTCATAAAAACAACTTGGACTATGCGACTGTTTTTCCACATCAAAGTGTTCAAGGTTGGTTTGGAAATCCGAAGATGGACTTTTCAAAATTTCAAAAAACCTGTTTACATGACTTAAAGAGTATGATCAATGTAAAACAATCCCAATTTAATTCAAAAAACCTGTTCTTTCCATAGCAAACATTTTACTATCGCAGTTCATCATCTAAGATTTTGTTCAAAAGGTCTTATTTCAATCACCTCACACTGTCCAACCAAATTGGCCATGAGAATGTAATTCTTTAGTACCTAACTGGTTACCCGATTATCCTAAGTAATGGCTTGTTAATGTTATTAAGCGGATGATTCAATATCAAATAAAAAGTCCCAAAACAACAACAAAATATTATCTGAATTTTGGATAGTGAAGTATGACTAAACCTCAATGCACCAAGGACCCAATTCAAGATTCTCGACATGGGCAACACTGTGAAGAAGTTCCTTCAAATAGTTACACTCCTTCTCCAAGTCGTGATTCCCAAAATCAAAAGTTAAACGAAGGACTGCAGTGACAAGTGAAGCCACATTTCCCTGCCGGATACGTATCTCATTGCAGTACCCCCAAATTTGCAAATTTTGAATAAAAGGGGCTAATATTTCGAGCCAAAGGTCAGGATTCTCATTTATGTAATCTTGTATGCTCAATTCTCTCAGCTTCACAGTGCTGATTTCCAAACGATGAATGCCCGAAACACTATCAAGTTTCAAGCATTCCAAGTTAGGGCAACCAGATAATAAATGAAGTTGTTCTCTAGGCTGGTGGATCATTGGTGCCTACCTTTGACACTTATCACATTTTCGAACGAATTCTTTAGTGTCCTTCTCCATATTCTTTAGTGAACTAGCGATTCGGCACCGGAGTGGTTCCCACAAGTACTTTCGTGAACTTCTAGTAGGACATAATTGGTGTCCCCTGGTACAATGTTCCATCCTCAGCCAATGTGAATCGAGCAGCTTTTGTTCGTAGAGCCTTCGATTCCTTAGGGTCCGATGGGAGCTTTGCATTTTTCAAATACTCAATATATTTATTCCTCCAATCCCAGTTAGGCTTGTGGATTTTATTTCAGCGTGACCTTCTTCGATTACTGACTTTTAGAGTTGAACGATAGTCCCCGAGCTGATTTCGTCGTCCTCGACTGATGATCCCAAATTTGCAAGGGCATCGACTTCACTGTTATATTCTCGAGGTACATGCTGCAAAGTCCATTCTTTAAAACGATGCAATGTCACTTGCAGCTTATCCAAATACCTTTGTATTCTATCCTCTCGAACCTCGAAGGTTCTGTTTACTTGGTTTACTACCAACAGGGAGTCGCATTTGGCTTCGATGACTTCCGCTCCTAAGCTTTTAGCTAGTTCGAGACCTGTAATCATGCCCTCGTACTCGGCCTCATTGTTAGTCAACTTAGAAGTTTTGATAGACTGTCTAATAGTGTTGCCCGTGGGCGGCTTCAAAACGATGCCTAGCCTTGACCCTTTCACATT